GCGAATTTCCTCATTCCAGTAATTCTGAAACGTCTTATGCTTTCTGGAGCAGTTTTTCGCTCGTTTCTGCTTCTCGTCCCAGGCCTTGACGAAATCTCGGCTTAATATAGCACCGAGGACGTGATGAGGAACCTTAGGTCAGCGTTTCTTAACCTTTTTCAATCGACGTAACCCTTGGTCTGAGAGTGAAATCTCACACATCCCTTGGCCTTAGAGTCAAACATTTTTGTGACAGCCAACACGGTCTCTCCCGACCTGATAATTTCACAATTATAAAACGAATATTTTTTCTCAAATAACTGAAAGAAACAGGTCGGAACTCATTATATGACCAGAAACAAAGAAGTATTCATGCAGACAACTTCCATTAAGGTACTGTATACTATTTAATATCGTTTTCGAGTTAACGAAGTTCAGGAGCCAGTGGAGGGCTCTTGTGAACACGGCAATCAACCATCGGGTTCCATAAAATGTTGGTAAATTGTAGAGGAGCTACGCAACTGGAGGTTTCTCATGGAGGGCTCAGCCATCCGAGCACACTTAGTGTCACACTGAATATAACTACACGTGCATGAGCAGAGAGCTTTATCGATTAAGGCAATTTTCGCTTAATTCAAGTCCAATCGTAACGAGGGTTGATTGTCTGCCATGAAACATAGAAAGTGTCTTTAAAAATGTTAAATAAGCTATGTGGGGGCACGGGGCTATGCTACAAGCCGGAAGGTCGCGGGTTCAAGTCCCGATGAGGTCATTCAATTTTTTTCAATTTACCTAATCCTTCCAGCCGCACTATGGCTCTGGGGTCGACTCAGCCTCTAACAAAAATGGGTACCAGGAATCTTCCTGGCGATAAAGGGTGACCAGCGAGTAAGGCTGACAACCTCACCTCCATCTGTGAGCCGATTGTCTAGAAAATGTGGGAGCCTCAACGTCTCAAAACCCTATGGGACTCCAGGGCCTGGTACAGCGATACCTTTACTTACTTACCTACCACTGGTCATGTGGTTTAGCGAGAGCTGAACTATACCATTGAAATTTAAATGGACTAGAAATGCATACAAAACCATGGACAAGAATGGCCGTTAGGAGGAGGCCATTGGGCAGTCCATGAACTCGATGGGGAGTACCGTAAAATCCTATGAAGTACATATGATATTGTTAGGAGCTGCTGATAAGGCAACTGTGTTTATAGAACATTGAGGCTTATTTCTGCATTCACAACAGCCCACCTCTGGACTCTGTCCTTCGTCAGCTCAATCCATTGTACATCATAATACGCAACTTACTTGAATCTAAATTTAAATTGATATCCCCACGTAATGGCCCTGCCAGAGAGGAGAAGGTTAATCTCCGGCTTCCCACGGCAGCGGCCCGGTTTCGATCCCAAGTCAGGTAATGTGGGATTTGTGGTGGACAAAGTGGCACTGGGGCAGGCTTTCTCCGAGTACTTCGGTTTTCCTGCCAATTCTTATTCAACCTACTGCTCCACATTCGTCATCATTTATCAACCGGGGTTGTTACAATGCGCCAAACAGTGGGCGACATACCAAGAGGACTCAGTCTCACCCCACCCCAAGAAATAAAAATAAAAGTACACCATGTAGAGTGGGTGAACAAAAGAATGGGAACACTAAGAAACTGAGAAATAGAATTTGTATTGTCTACACTGACAGGGCTGCAATTGCTAAACCTCCGAGTACTGAAATTAATGACGACGGTGTCACGACCACTTTAAACGCACGCGCGCGATATGGTCAGATGAGTCGTCCTTCACTCTGTTCCCTACATCAGGAAGAGTTCACGTTCTGAGAACAGCCAAGGAAGCCTACAATCCGCATTGCCTGATTGGGTCCGAACAGTGAAACACGGGGGAGGTTCTGTGAAGGTTTGGGCCGCAACATCACGGTACAGTATTCTGTTGGTCCCATTGTTAGCCTTCATGGCCGAGTTACTGCAAGGGAGTGCGTAGGCAGGTTGCGCAATCAGGTGCATCCCATGGTCCAGACGCTATTTCCGAGCAACGGTGCAGTGCTCCAAGACGGCAATGCCCCCATTCACACAGCTGGAACTGTTCAGTTGTGGTTTGAAGAGCATGAAGGTGAACTTCAACATCTTCCCTGGCGAGCACCTTCACCAGATCTGAACATCAGTGAACCACTGTGGTCAGTTTTGGAGACTACAGTGAGGAACAGTTTCCCGCCTCCAAAATCCCTAAAGCAACTTGAAGATGTTCTTCAAGAAGAATGGTACAAAATGCCGCTAGAAACTGTTCAAAACTTGTACGAGTTCATGCAAAGGAGGACTGAGGCTCTATTGAACGCAAAAGATGGTCCAACACTATATTAAAAAAGAAATGTTTACAGTAGTTGTAGTGTTTCCATTATTTTGTTTAACCCCTGTATATGAACCGTGATAATTCAGTCAGCAATGGATGGGCGACCGAGGTTCGATTCCCGGTAGAAGGGGGTCTTTTCTGTCGACTTCCATTCTCACCCGACCTCTTACTTACTGAATAAAGGTGGATCACTCATTGGAGGTAAATCGGGCGGAGCGTGAAGCCGAAAACTCACTTCATTCTAGTGCAGCGTTTTAGAATGCATGGAGCTATATCTCCGTGGTCCGCACTCGCGGGATGTGCTTAGACAGGTGCACATTTTGTTTCCGAACATGGAAAACAAACTTTTGTCCCTACAGGATATGTTACAGCAATGTCCCCCAAATGTAACCTCACATCGGCCGTAGGCTACAGAGCCTGTGTGATTGATATTGACTTTAAATTATGCTTAATAATCGTGTTATTACTGCATGCGCCCCTTCCTTTCAAACAGAGAATAACAAAACCTTTATTTTAAATGCCTTTCTTTTCGCCTTTAGATATCAAAATTCTGTCCATCCTCACGAAACTAAATATTTAGAACGGCTTATTGCAAATTCTTAGAACAGCGTAATGAACTCCACTGAGAAGAGTCCTCTACCAGCCTATCATCAGTTAGGTGGTCAAGAAAGCCCTTACATTTTACGGACCATATATTTAGCCAGTCCAATCCAGTCCACAACCTGTTCATTTTAGATTCATTTTAATATTATCCTTCCATTTGGAGCGCAGATCTCCCAACTTACAACATTCCTCCAGGTTTGTTGACTGAAAGTTTGTATACGTAATATTTCTCACGGCCCTCTTGCGTGCTATGTATTCTTCCCATCCACCCTCCGTGATTTTATCACTCCCTCGTTAAATACTCTCCTCCACGTCCGTTACTTATTCTCCCATACGTATGAGCACTCACTTCATCATATAGTTTTTATACATTTTAAATCCGGTGTTTCCGAAACGTCACAAACGTGTTAGAGCCAACTAATTATACTGTCATGTCATAAAGTGACTATAGACGGGGTTAGGATTGCTTGACACGCTCTGCAGTTCACTACAGCACGTACTGAGTCTTCTCAGTCAGCTGTGTCTTCACTAGTGGACGTTCCCCTGCTCCCGGGATCACGTTCTCGCAGGCTGGCGGCCATCTCACACCAGCCTCCTACTCTTCTAACTGCCGTCTCAAGACTCCCTTATAATAGAGAGAGAGAGAGAGAGAGAGAAGAAGTGGTGGTCGTAGTGAGAGACACTACATTGGGGGCGGGGGGGGGGGAGACTATACATCACAGTTTCAGGGTTCCCAGCG